TAAAAAAACGGTCTGTTAAGCAAAAAGGAGTCCAGTCACTGGCGGACATGTTGACCGACAAAGTTACTTACAAAAAATGAGAAAGGGTATTGCACGTCCTGCGTTATACCGTACACATTTTATGGCATGATTCTGTCTGTCTCACAGTCAACTATTAGAGTTTAGTCAACTTGTTTGCCAGTCAATGGGCTTCCTGAACCGAATGTAGAATGGCACAACATTTACCATGGCTATTAACTGGATTCACTTGAAGTATACCTTTTTGATTATTCATACATACTTAATAACAGTTCGTAGAATGATTTTATCTAAGGCAGTGTAAGGTCGTAATGGAAATTCTAATAATGCAATCAGCAATTTCTTACTTTCTGTGACTCAACAACAAAATACTTCAACAAATTCGAATCGCTTTGACCTAAGTTACAAAGGGCAGCGTTATTTTAATTCACTATCCCTTAATATTTCAATGAGTGATACCTATTGAAAAGAAACAAACGTCTCACTCGTGTGTCATCTCCTTATCTTGCATAACTTGATTTTTACTGATCAGCTTTCAGGACAGCGAATGTCCCACTTTGAAATAAGAAAGGGTATAGTTTACACTTTTTAGTATATTACGACCTTAAAATGCCTTACTCTTAATAGAATAAATAAAATTAACTTAAACTATTCATATTACATTTTTACATCTAGATATATTAATTAGTCAACATCAACAATGTCTGGTACTTTTTTACTGCGTTAGCGCATTTATTACCTTAACATTGTTCGTATAGATAATTATTATAATAAATAACAGTATTGGTTCGTGTTAATGGTGGTTCATTGGCAAAAAGACAGATCTGATTGTAATTTTTTTATAGAGCGGTTTACACACGGCGATTTTCTAGCAGCGAGTAAACGCGTGTTTGCATCGATGCAAACGCTTTTGTTGAATCATTAAAAACGTACATCAAGTGCATGGTATACTATACATGTTCTATTTAGATCACTTGATATAAAAAAAATCATTGGTATGTGTAAAGTACCTATTGAAAACACCGCTTTTGTTGTAAAATTTTTTAGTATGTGATCTTTTTTTTCGAATTTTTCTATCGTGTAAAAATTTCGGAATCGTATTTTCACACAATATATTTGTTCAATTTTGTCAAAGTTTGATTGATTCAACACTCACTGCTAAGCGGAATCAACCAAAGCCATTTGAGGTTGTATAGTCTCTTAAGACGCGCGGGTGTGCAAAGGTAGACGATTAGCGACTGCACCGCTACGTCATTGCGACTGAATCGCTACAGACGTGCTGCTAAAAGTCGCAGTGTGTGTGGACAAACTAGCATTAGTTGTTTAATTGTATAAATTGTATACGATATATGAAAACTGTACTGGGATAGCAGTAGTTAACAATTACTAATTTCAATAGTTTTATATGAATGACGAATGTTTAATGGAATATAGACCTTTTATTTATATTTTATATTTAGCTATCATATGGCATACAGGCTTCAACAGTGTCACAAGTCATAAATCACAATTTCTTGGGTTTTGTTACGGGTATACTTCATACAGTAAACTTCTCTGGTGTTGAGTACAAAAATGGAAAAATATAACATACTCAAGTATTCAGATTAATTTGTAATTACCTAACGTCATTTTTGACGACTTGAAGGTAGAAGTGGACGTTGAAACGATAAGCACTTAAAAAGTTTGCTTCTTAAAATAAGCACATAAACACGCTTTTCAATTGAAGCGTAAGCGTTAACAACGTGCTTATGTTTCAAGTACAGCCATCTATGTTTCCTAAACAAATTAATTAATTGATGTGAAAAATAATATTTAAAAAAAATTAAACTCGTGTTTTACAAATAAACTTGCTTATCTTACCACCTTTAGTGGTCTACTCTTGCTTTTTGCTATCAACACAACGTTACAAGCTTTTTTTAACACAAAAGTCGATTGTGTAAGCTTCAAAAAAAAGCGTATAAAAAAACCACAACGTTTAACGTTTTAAAAAATAAATCGTTTTTCCCATCTCTACTTATAAGTAGGGTACTTATTCGAAAATCTACTTTGTAACGGTCAGTGTTGAAGCCGGTAAGCTGTTTAAACATGGGCGGGAGAGATTTACTTATAATAAACAAGCGCAAAAGAATACCGGAGCATGTGAGCAGCAAAACGGTTTATAAAATAAATCTCGTATATACAAAGAATGCGCTGTCATATCATTTTTTTAAACGATATGTATCTGCAGCTATCTCAAAGTGACAGCTTAATAATACAAAATTGATCCCTTTAAAAACTTATAATCGATTGCGCTTTTGACACCTTTATGTTATTACGTGGTTGGTGTATTTGTTTGTACATTAAGTATGATTAAAACTCTCGATTACTATGTTATTGTTATAATAGTAAAGAACAGTGGCAAAGGGACCATATCAGACCACTTCTATCAGCTTGTTTGAGAAATTTACTCTCTGCCTTAATAATAAGTGTTGAACGTAAAATTACTTGTGTTGTACCATTTACCGCGTAGCTCCTAGATCGGCTTATCTTCTTCGAATGTCCACCCTTCGCCACTGGTATAGAATATACATATGTACTGGTTAATAAAAACATAAGAAATAATGATAGCTGCCGTATGTACAACATGATTTGTAAAATAATAACTAACATAGTTTTGGTATATACAAATGATCAATAGATTGGTAACAGAATTATCTATAGCGTAGACCATTTATTATTATTAGGGTTATTTTTTAACTAAACCGAAACCTTTCACGGCATTCTTGTGAGTGAACCAAATAGCTTGTTTTACAATTCTAAATATTGTCAAAACAATTTTTCCTTTGTATTGTATAAATATTAAATTTTTGCACATCTTAACATAAATTCAAATATTTAAGTACTAAAAAAAAGTTTATTTTTTTAGTCGCAGGAATGCCATTTCGGCTTAATTTAAAATAAACCTATAATATGTAATTGTAAAAAAGAAACTTAAATGCCGTGCAGTAAACTTTTTTCTGTAGTGAAATAATAAAATATTGACATGATATAAATTCGATATTTAATTTAAAAAAAACCTACAAATGGAATGGCCTAAACACAATGACAATTTATATATTAGAAATTTAGTTTAGAAAAGAACTTACAATAAAATTATATAATAGATACCTATTTCGCATAAAGCCGCAATTAAATTATGAAAAATACTGGTTACACCATACATTTTACTTTGATATTACAAAAATATCATTATTTTGTTCTACTACATATATTCGTCAATCAATTCCTACTCTTTTATTACATTTTTTTTTACAAAAATACAGATACGTGTCATTTAGTCGTTCGTTCTTAAAACTATACACAATATTTTCATTTTCTTTATAAATCATCACCATACAGAAATGTACGTAAAGATTAAAACGTCCTACATATTCATAACATAAGCGGATAAAATAATTTACTTTCAACTATTTACATCTCTATGTACGCACACCTAAAATCTTTTTACTATAGTTCCGATTTGCAAAGCAACAAATTGGTGTAGCTAAGTTGTGAGCTACACCATTTTGTTTTTTAGACGGCCAAAATTTGAAAAGCCAATAAAATAAAAAAATGGTAATGGACCCAAAAGTCTCGATTAACGTTTATTTCTTCGTAATTTCAATATTCAAAGTGGTATATAATGGAGGTATATAATATAGGAGGTATATAAGTACTGTATTTTCTGTCAAGCCTATATCATGTGTAAGAATCACGAAGTTCGACATTGACTTTTATTGTAAAACAAAGTTTATTATTTATGAATACCCACATATATACTACTAAACAATAAAATTACAATGTTGAAAATGTAACCAATCAGGTAACACCGGCTAACTACTCGATTAGTTACTTTATTGTCACCGACGTTTTATTTCTACGAATGAAAAAATATTTCCTCTTTGATAAGAAAATTCGTGTTATTGGCAACACTTTACAAAATTTTAAATCGACATTACATTGGCGCCCTGCAGATCGGAATGTGAGTAGCAGCTTTATATATAAAAAATTCTATAAGTAATCATCACAATGACCTTTTCAGAACATTGTTCGCGAGTAATCTTGTTCTAAGACACTTCAATTGCTATAATATTCAATCACGTAACAATCTCACTAGCAAAGTTTGAAAACCACATTTGCTTCGGCCATTCACATGGATAAAAAATCACGAGAATTGCAATACGAAATTTAAACTATCCAATCTCATGGCTAATAACAGGAGATATTATGACAATAAAGTACTTGACAAGTTTCTAAAATTAAATATATGAAAACCGAATTGAAACTCAGAAACCCGAAGTCAGAAAGGCCAATTCTTATTTGTCACATCATTTAATCGCCGTAAAAGCTACACCATAGTCTGATTTTTTTTAAATCACAAATAGCAAACTGACAGCTACTAATGTCATTTTGACTTTTGTAATTATATATTTATTGAACATTGGCTATACAGCCTTCAGCTTTAATAGGTACTGACACTGGCCCCAAGCCTAGTGGCCGCCATTAAGGCAATAGAATAGAATAGAACAAATATATTAAGAAACTCAAAACGTAATAATACCTATAAACAAAAATTATTTTGTGTAAAAACTGTAACTATAAAATCCTGCCTTTTTTCAAATTAAATACTGACACTGACAAATCGGTGCCTTACTTTCTCAAACTCGTATTTTATAAAGAGTGTTTATTCAGGAGATGGCAAAACTTTCTATTTATTTTAAATTTCATATCAAGGGTTTTTTCAATTTGGATGCATTATTTTAAGAATAGATAAAAGCCAGTGTGTGAATATGAAGGAAATTTGATGTGAAATCAACCTGCAAAATTTGTATATACATAGATTTTAAGACTTTCGTGGTTATTCACTAAATGATTATCACTAATATCAGGTTTCTTACCACGGTATGATTTCTTTTTATTTTCCCGATATTTCGGAACGGTTGCACGCTCCATGGTCACGGGTTGACTGGACGGCGGCATACCTTTATATCTTTCTAAGTTCGTTTTAAAAACTGAAGAATTTGATAATAGAAAAAGAGTTTCATGTAATTAGATTACATGAAGTAAATAAATTATTCTGCAGCAGATAACAAAAGATAACAAAAATGCAACATTTTACTAATTTCGTTCCAGTGAGTAAATTTAGAACGAAACACATACTGAACAATAAACACATTTCGACCCCTCCTACGTAAAGAATCGCATGTCGAAATTGCGAAGTTTACAGGGGAGCCTTTTAAAGTTCTGAATTCACTGAAATAAGCACAATGCATGACTTTAGCATTTCTCAGTTTTATTCGCCAATGCTCGTTACTTACGTAGCGTATTATAAAATCCTAGATATCGGTTAGATGATCTATTAGATGATCACTCTACATGAGAACTTTAAAACGCTCCCTTGTAACGCTCTATCTTTTGCTATTTAAAACGGATAATTTGTCACTTGGCCGCGGTTTGTTTAGTAGACGGCAGATTTTAAGGCTTGGGTTTATAAAACGAACTTTGATTCGACCAAGCAAAGACGGCATGTTAAGTTGATTTTCCGTATGTAAAAAATGACCTTGGTTTATGTTTAAGTAAAAAAATAATTTACACGTTGACTTTACTTCGTAATTTCATGCTTAAACTTAGAAACATTTGTTTTGTAAATATGAAATATTTGCTTAGCTTGCCGTTTTTGCTTAGTTAAAATGAAAGTTCGTTTTATAAATCCCTCAGTCTCAGACTACATTATTTCATCAAAAGCTAGCAAGTTCACTCAACGTCAGTTTACTATTTATAATAAAAAATTCGACTGTTTGTTCATTGTTACAAAAAGGTGCGGAGTATCCCGCTACCAATTTCAACCATTAATAATTTAATATCTCTGGTGTTAGTTGATAATGTTGATATAAAGGCATTCGAAAATTCAGATTTCTCCGCGTTCATGTGAGTTGATTGAAGCAAAATAAATTTTCGGGTCAAATACCCTATTACCTAGCATTCTTAACGTGAATTAATTATAGTTATCTACTAAAATAATGTACCCTTCCTTTTATTCATTCCAATTTATTTTATTAATAGCTGTCATTTAATCTTGTCAATGAAAGTGTCAATTAACAATTTACTGATTTGTTAAGTATAATGTTGATCCGAAACAATTGTGAGTATGAGTACCGTTTTGTACACATTTATAGTACCTATTCCGTAGCGATTCTATAATTTACTCCCTTAAATGTACGTTTTATATTACTATGGACTTTGCAATTCATACGCATTTATTCAGCGCAATTAATCGGTCCTCTTATCATTCCGCCCTACGGCACCTTTACCCGTGGACCGACACAATTAAATTTTAATTAGCCTTCTTCAGTCTCCCAAGTTAAAGACTCCATGCATTAATCGTTGAACCATATTGCAAACCTTTTTGGTGGCTTGAAAATTCCTATAGTGTTCTTATTATTCTTCAATTGTCTATGCGTATGCTGTAAACAATAGATGATCTTATAAAATACACTTGGGGTTTTACACATCGAGCCACTGCTTTAGTTTAAGGCTGATTGACAAGAAAAGCAGAAGAATCATGTCCTTTTTCCTGTACTGTCACAAGTGACACAATTTGTTAAAAGTGGACTAATGTACTATTTGTCAGTCCACAACCTTCAGTCGGTCCATCATAAATAACATTGCGATAATAAAGGTGAAGATTGGCATAGGCGGAGTAGGTATTTTAGAATAATATATATTTAGGAAATGAAACTATTTTTTCAGATTTAAATCGCGTATATTTGTTTTTTCAAACAAACCGACACGACATTTCGGGCCCTTTACAGGTCTTATGGTCACGGTTGACTGAGGTGGTACAGTCTTCAACATCAGTCAACCGTAACAATGGGACCTGTAAAGGGCCCCAAACGTCGGTTTGTTTGAAAAAACAAATATACGCGATTTAAATCCGGAAAAATAGTTTCATTTCCTATGTGTAACAATCGCGAAAACGTAAGAACTCGAAATATATGCTTAGTTTAGCATTAAAGTACGTTCATGTATGAACAATAACAACAAATATAATTTGTCAACGGTCCGTACTAAATGGTTATCCACAAATCAGTAAACTGTTAAAACATTTTGAATTACACACAATTCTCAAATATATACAACAGTCTTAAAAACAACTATATTAAACACTACGTATTAATCAGGCGCGTTTAGAAGGGACTGGGAGTCTAGGAGTTGGCTAGCGTCTATGATACTCACTTGCATCAAATCTAAAGTCCTGGTAACATCTTCGGAACGTGACAAACTGAATGGATGGAAGCGAGAGACTACGACGCGAGACGGCTCGTTCCCATCGTCGCCGTTCGACGAATGTCGGTTGTTTATGAAGGAGAGAGATGATAGTTTCTCGTTTAGTTGTTGAATCTGTGACAATATTGCTTTTGTGAGTTTGACTAATATTTACAAAAAAAAAGATAATTGGACGTAGTTAAGCAAAAAGGATCCTATCCACAAAATTATCAAAAAATGACTTATATGTACAGTCCAGAGCACATCAAGCTTGACACTTTGTACTTTGGTTTTTGTTTAACTACGTCCAATTTGTAATGTTGCAACACACGTATGAAAAGTGGCACGATTTAAGTTTTTTTTTGTTAATTTATTGAGTTTTGGCTACATTGCAATAGAAGTGAATTAAAATAATTATTTATTTAATTTTAGTTTTATTAACTTTTAAAAACTTATATTAATTTGTAAGAGTTTCTTGAGTCATAAGTACGTAATATTTTATCTCATTTGGAAGAGACAGTGTTGTTTGTTATCTATCATTATCAAGTACTAGGCGGTCATAACATTGGAGAGACTCACATCTTTCAAAACCGAGTAGTTGTAGACGTGGTACTGCACAGGCCCCGCGTGTAACGCATCGAGCGGCAGCAGCCAGCGCTCGTAGCACTGCGACCACAACTCCATGCCTGCTATCGATGTACACGGCTTCAGTCTGGGCAGTTCTGACGTTGGTTTGCTTGGTATTGATATTGTTGCTGTAAAAAACGTCCATAAAGCCTTAAGCCTTGTGATCATGACAAGTATACCCCGAAGGGAAATGGGCGTGAAGTGTATGTATGTAGATTAAATCTTGAGCTAAACTTAAAAGTGTGACTCTATGTATCAATACGAACAGTTTTATTTAATAGAAACAATTTGTTTTTAGATATTATATAAACTTTGCAATTCTTTTCTTTGACCACGATTATCGTACACCAAAACGGAGAGATCTTCTTAATAACCAATCTAATAACATTATTTCTACCATTTCTACTTGTATTAAAAAAAAAATAGCGGACTTGGGATCCAGGCATGGGACCTGATAAATTTTTTTACGATTTCTTATATTTCTAGAAATCATACCTCTGTTGGTCCCACAGATGAGGACTTTTGATCCTTACCAGAAATAAGATGGAATTGCATGAAAAAGAATTTGGTGAAAATTGCCTTTCATCTTGCTGACTGTAAACTTTCTTCAAAATCTGTTATGATAGTCTGTTATGTAGTTATGATAGTTAAGACCATTGAGATGGGTCTACCATCTCAAATTTTCACCCTGTATATGTATGTTTAAGAATGTCATATTAATTGCTTACATAGCCTCTGGTTGGGTGTACTCGTAGAGGGCTTGTTGCCTAGGTACAAGGGATTGTAGAACAACGCCATGTCTTGATCCATGAACTGCTCGCCCCAGTCCCACACCGGCCTTTCGACAAAGTCCTGTAAATAATAAAAAGTATTAACACATATATAACTATTTCAGGCTGCACTTAAAAACTAGTATTTTAAATGTATAACTAACGTGACATACGTCCGGCTTTGAGCGGGACAGTCCCGCCTTTTAAGTTCCGTGTCCCGCTGTCCCCAAAATATCATAAGTGTCCCGCTGTGACAAAACACGGCACACTTGACAATAAATTTTAAAGAAATGGCGCGAAAGTGAAAAATATATAAAGCCAGCAAACCAGACATTTTTGATCATTAAACATTTTTATTCTTTTTTCAAATTTTTTTATTCGTTAAACTTTCCGTTACTATCTCAAACACTCTGAGGGACAAAAATGATGGTGACTACATTATGTCGATAAGATTGACAAGTTATATGTGTCTACAGGCCCTCCGTGACGCATGGCTGTCGGACACCCTGTTTATGTATACAACAACCTTTATAGGAAAAATCTTAAAAATCGATTACATAGTCTTTAGGAAATTGTGAACACACACGATAAACATATAAATGTGTTAACCACCACCGTTTTTTTTAAACAATCTATTAACTATAATTGCTACGTTCTCCAGTTCTAAACGTATAATGCTATAAATTCTGTGGCTCTAGTGAAAAGGGGTACAAAGGGGATGCGAAAAACAGTTAAAACTTATTAAGATATTAACAGTTAAGTGTTTTCCGCATTACCTTGTATAGTAGGCATTTTTAACTTGTACCTCTTTTTACTAGTCACAGAATTTACTACAAAATATGATGTTCCGATTTTTTTTTAAATAACAATGGAAATGGCATCGGCAACCCTAAATTAACTGCAATTTTATAGACAGGGCAATGAGGCGCTCGTTTTTTTAAAGGTTAAACAGGGACTATATAATTTTTAGTGTATATTTTATTTTTTTAAAGTAGCTGCTAAACGAGCTTTCTATTTATACAGTTTAATAGCTGGTATAAATACAAATAAGAAATGTTATGCGACAATATTGCATAACGTGTCAGGATTCTAAGACGAGAGCTACTAAAATATTCAAACAAGTAATAATAATGGCTCACCTTGGAGATAGCTAATTCCCTGTCCCGCGGGCAGTTAAACAAGAACGTGTCAAAGAGGTGGTTATGCACACAGTCCCATAGCGTAGTCAGATAGGTTTCAGTGAACTGGAAGTAAGACGGGAACTGGTTTAGCAGCTGCCACGTGCAGTCCAGGAACAGCAGGAAGATGGGTGCGCGTTGCATGCTTATGTTCTCTTTAGCTGAGATGTCTCTGGTACAGCCTGGCCGAGGAAGGCCGAATCTGAAACACATGGCAATCAAATACATAAAACATTTATTGTATGAATTGGTAAAATAAAGGAGTTACAAGCATCAAGTCAGGCGCATAATGTCTTAAAATTATAATTCAACAAAATTTATTTTAATTTAAATGAAAACAAATTATAAATACGTTTGTTACACGTGTTGTTTTGTAGTACTGCCACCTTACCTATTTCTGCCGCCAAGCAGTAATTTATTATAATTAATTTATTATAATTTAAATGACAACAAATTAAAATTATAATTACGTTTGTTACACGTGTTGTTTTGTAGTACTGCCACATTACCTATTTCTGCCGCCAAGCATTAATGTCAGCATTACTATGTCCCGGTTTTGAAGGCTAAGGATGCTGGTGAAATTATAGGCACATTGGACTTGTCAACTTATGTCTCAGGGTGACGAACGCAATGGTAGTGCCTCTCAGATCTTTGCTATTTAAAGCTCTGAGTAGCACTGCAACTGTTACGGACAGGCGTGTCGTTTACCATCAGGCGCACGACTATTTTGTCCCATCACTTAATATAATAATAATAAAAAACAAAATTGTCAAATATTCTGTGTCTTTATATAAAATTCGTTAACATTGTAAAAAACTTTGTCAATTAACTTTTTAACAATTAATTTATAAATTTTTTTAAATAAGTTTTAAACTTACCACCGTTTAAACATTTTATTTCAATTGTAAGTCTGTTATAAATTCTGATCGCCGTTACAATAGGTGTTGTGGTCCAAGATCGTGCTTTTTATTCTAGATAGGACAAGACAGTCCTTGTTTCTGACGTTAACAGAGTGTACATCAGATATTTTACTAAAGAAGTTACTGTTACTGATTGTGTACAAAAAGATATAATTCCGAAATATCCCTGTGAAAGTCAGGAAGCCCTTTTCTTTGTACAGAGTACTTAGAGAATAATCACTAGGTTTACTATAGGTTAATGCGTTATATGACCTATCTGACTAAGCTATGGGACTGTGCACCTGCAGCTATAGAATATTTTGCACACGAAGTACCTGTCACAGAAAGGATGTCCCAACGCAATCCATTCCTTTTGTATGAGCGACTGGAAGCCCGATATCGTGCGGAAGTGAGGATCCACCAGCAGTTGTGTCAGAGAGGACACAACAGCGCAGTAATCCACGCCGTCGCCTGCAATAATTTACAGTTGCATAAAAAATAAATATCTTTAAATAGCGATGTTTTACTATCATGATATTCAATTTATTTATTGTGAAATTATTGTATTTCGTTATTGAAATTAGTTTATAAGAGCATTATTCCCCAACTTCAGTTATGATTTTCAAGGAGATAATACATACTGTACTGATATTAATATTTAAGTAATACTTGTTGCCGTGTTGCACATCGCACACGATTTGAAGACATAAAAAAAATACTACAAATATTGTAAGAAATAATGAAATATTCTTTATTACACATTAAGTATTACAATGATAACACAGTAATTTACGTTGATCTTATTGCTAAGTGGCAATTTGTTCCAGGAAACCTTTGGGCAACCAAAGAATATCTTCTAACAGATGTATTTCAAATGAACTGAATGCCTACACTACAAATTGAATTGAAATAAATTAGATAATAAAAAATATTTTCTATAAATTTTGTTAAATCATAGCAGAAAAATATAATGAATTATTAACATTAAAAAGTCATATGTCTACACATGTACCCCATTATTTAAATCCGTAACAAATTACGGAATGCCTAACACGATCGCGCAGTCAATTGTACAATATACATGAAAAGGTTGTAAAAGGACTTTGTGGAGGTTTGACATTATTTAACTTTTCCAAAAAACGTGTGTAATATGTATAAATAAGTTACATCGTTAAACGTATATAAGAAACTATATTGTATTTGCAAATTTATGATGAGCGAGAGCACGCGTGCTCGCTTCGTGAGTTTGGAAGAGAGTGACAACGGAACGAAACGTGAGCATGACGAGGCGAAGGAATTAAAGAACGATTTAAAATTTGAAAATAAGTGGCCAGGTACCAGAGAAAATGTGACAAATAGGCGGGATGACAGTGGAGGAGGTCGCATCGTGACATACGTACCTTCCTGTAAGACAACGGTAACGTTGTTAGCTAAATATCTTGCGGCGTCGTCCGCGAACGCGATGCAATTGGCCACGTACCTCAGCCATCGGCTCGAATCCAGCATGGAGTAGTACTGTGAGTCTTGCACCTGGAAATATTACAACGTCACTAGACTTTCATAAGTGTTATTACAGGTGGCGCTACGGGAAAAAAACAGTTTAAACCCAATACAACGCTGATGAAATTACAAGCAATAACTGGCCTGTAATTTAAGTATATGGCAAAAAAAAACTGGCCATATATAATTTTTGTTACATAAAGATTAAGAAACTTCTACAAGAATTCCTTCAAAATACGTCTTACGATGATACAGAGAATTTATTAATTATCCCAAAATAAATGTTATCAAATTACCTGGCTGTGCCTTTTATTATGCACTTTTTATGCTTTGTAAAATTTAAGTTCTATGAATAAATTTATTATTATTTCGATTTTCTACTTTGTTTTATATTCAATGAAGCAACTTTGTTCTCAGAACTGCTATAAGAGAAACTTATAAAAAAGTTGACAATTGTTTGGACTCTCCTTTATAATTTCATTAATTATAGGAAATGAAACTATTTTTCCGGATTTAAATCGCGTATATTTGTTTTTTCAAACAAACCGACGTTTCGGGCCCTTTACAGGTCCCATGGTCACGGTTGACTGAGGTGGTACAGTCTTCAACCAGTTATGTCTAATATTGATGCAAACACCCTATTTTTTTACTATAGTTACAATAGTTATTAATTAAATACCTAATTTTTAATTTTACAAAGAAAACATTACAATTTACGTTACATTAAGTTTTACAATTATTTTATTGAATGAATTTTTATTACGTTCAATTTATTATTAATTAATATAGAAATTAGAATAAATTAAAACATACTAATTAGTACTGCAGTCTTATGTCTGTTTGGGATTTTTCATTACAGGAAATACTGGATCCCAAACTGGTAGTACGGAGAAACCATCTTCCCTGTTGAAATTAGGATGTTTTTTAATTTCAATAACCTCTCGCGGCATCCTGGGTAGATAACGGACTTCTTTTGCAAGGACCTGGGGTTTGTCAAACTTCATTGAATGTGTAGGTTTATCCATGACATGCTCGCAGACTGCAGACTTGTTTACGCGACGGTGTTTGACATCAGCTATATGTTCTTTGACGCGGGTACAAATACTTCATTAATTATGTTTATAAATAATAAAGTATTTGCATATAATTTGTATATAATTAATGAATATTATGGTTATTTAATAATATTATTAAACTCTGGTATTTAATTTAAGCGTATAGGTATATGATTTGCATTTTATTGTTTACTTTTTGTTTATAATTTAATTATATATTCACCTGTATAATTAGTACTTTTTACCTGAAATACATGATTTTCCTAGTTCATAAATATATGTGTTATATTTTACATTTATTCGAATAATTAGTCTTTAGTTATTAATTTGTACAATAAGTTATTCAATAAACAATTTTTTTTTACTTGTCAACTGGTCACGGGCGCAGTGCCAGTGCCCCTCAGATCTTTGCGTTTTAAAGTTTTTGCTCTTATCTAGGAATTATTTAAGTCAGTGACTTATTTATCAGGATTCACTTATTTCGGAATATGAATAAACACCTTAATTTTTTTTTGTTTAGTAGCAGAAGAGGTTTTTGTCACAGAGTTCACTCAAGGAAATATTGTCTGCAAGCTATATTCTGAGCGTGACTGCGTTCCGGTGTTAAGGGTAAGGATATTCTGCCGTCCACTAACTAAAACGCGGGTACGTGATAAATGGTCAAATGACTGTTTTAAATAACAAAAAATAGAGCACAAAATTCTCTCTTAAAAACAGTTAAAATTAGTTAACGTGTTCGACTTATCTGAACTTACCCTAACGATCCATAGCTGAAATGTCATTAAACAATTACAATATTCTATAACTGGGTTATGGTTTTTTATGATATCTCAAAAAAATATTTTATAACTACAGGCATAATGGGACTTATCAGCTTTGTGTTAGGTGACGGGCGCTGTGGCAGTGCCCCTCAGATCTTTGCTATCCAAAGCTTTGAATGGCAC